ACAAATTAATCAACTAGCTCTCATATTAAAGACACAAAATAATAACTAACATAACTAATTTCTTTAATATACTCAAATTAATTAATTAATTGTGATATTAAGGATTAAATATCATTATAAAAATAAACCATTATAAATTCCGAGTTAGTCCCTTTTTTGTAAGCCGCCATAAGCATCCTCACCACTCACCGGTCTCCTCCCAGAGAAGCCGCCATGTGTGGAATACTTGCAGTCTTGGGCTGCATTGACAACTCTCAGGCCAAGCGTTCTCGTATAATCGAATTGTCTAGGAGGTAATTTTTCTTGTACATTTCATTTCTCGAAACCTGTGCTTGTGGTGATTTTCTCTAGCTTGCAAATATTTGCTCTTGATCTACGGCTGCAAGTTACAGAAGGTCTTTTCTGCCATAAGTACATTTAGATGCGTTGTTCTTCTTTTGGAAGGATAGATGTTTTCCTCCTCGTTTTGGCTTGACGACTGAACTCCATTTGCTTCTTAGTTAATATTTTACGATGAGAGAGTCGGCTTTCTAAACTGGAGCTTGAAAATGCAGGTTAAGGCATCGGGGTCCTGATTGGAGTGGCTTGCATTGCCATGAAAACTGTTATCTTGCCCATCAACGTCTGGCTATCGTCGATCCTACCTCAGGGGATCAGCCTCTATATAATGAAGACAAGAGTGTCGTTGTTACTGTAAGTTTGTTTACCCGATTCTGTTCATTTACTTTTCTTTATTACTATGAAATACATGGCTTTTCTCATTCAGTGCGCGATGCATATGATCCATTTCTCTGACTTTAAGATCCATGGGTATACACCCATGCTATTACTTCACTGAGCCGTTTGGTCTGCTTATACACGAATCCTATTTACATGCTTATATCATCTGTCTGATCCAATATAAGGTCTGCATTTTGCACATGGGATTTGTTTCTTAATTTTTACATTGAGTTGGTAGTCTCTTTGCCATTTAATAGCCATGTGAATATTTTCACCAAGGGTCATCTTTTTCTGAATATTCAAGGTTGTCAAACACTACGAAAACATGTATTTTTGTTGTTGACACCTCAAATCTTCTGTTGTTTTTTCTCTTCCTTCTAATCATTCTTAGGTATCAAACTAGTTCCTTGATCTTTTCTTAGCCTTATCTTTTCCTTTTTGAACCATGTCATTAGGTAAATGGAGAGATATACAACCATAAAGAATTGAGAAAAAAACTGACTTCTCACCAATTTCGCACTGGAAGCGACTGTGAAGTGATTGCCCACCTTGTAAGTGTTCAAGAACTCAGGAAATCAAGTGATCCTCATGTTGTTTTTATATATAATGCTAGAAGATGCTTTATTCAATGCGGCTTTTCTTATATCTTCCCTCCTATTTGCTTGTAACAACTTGTAATCATCTCAGTATGAAGAATATGGTGAAGAATTCGTTGACATGTTGGATGGCATGTTCTCTTTTGTCCTTCTAGACACTAGAGATAAAAGCTTCATTGCAGCTCGTGATGGTATTGGGATTACCCCTCTTTACATGGGCTGGGGTCTCGATGGTATGTGGCTTTACTTTGGTATAGAACGAACTAATGCTCCTGTGACCCTGATCATCAGTATTGTATTGCTGCTTTAGTGACCCTGATCATTAGCATTGTGAGGCCATAAGTCGTAAATTTTATTCATCTCGAATACTACTTTTGGAATAATATCTATTCGCTTAGCCCGAACACTACTTATGGATGGAAAATAACGATTTGCCTAGTTTGACGAAGCTTCATTGTAACTTGGCAAGTTGGTTTATATTTTTTATAATTTGACCAAAGCAGGTGTCTTATATATTGAAGGCTTGATTTATTTTCAGGATCTATATGGTTTGCATCTGAAATGAAAGCTTTGAGTGATGATTGTGAGAGATTTGTATCTTTTCCTCCAGGGCATTTATATTCCAGCAAACAGGGTATTGAAAACCTCATTCTTCTATTCATAAATTATTTTAAACATATTGAGAACCGCTACCTCATCAGCTATACCGATGAGTCTTGTGATTCTCATCCTTTTATTGGTTTCATTTTGATTTGATAGAGATACTTTTTCATTTGTATATCCTTTGAAACTTGATGCCTTTTCAGGAGACCTAAGAAGGTGGTATAATCCCCCTTGGTATTCGGAGAATATTCCTTCGACTCCATACAATCCTCTGGCTTTGCGTGAGGCATTTGAGAAGGTAAGCTACTATGTTCTGTTGTACTGAATTTCGTTAACAAAATGTCTTAGATTGTCTTTTGATTTCGCTGGAATTTTGACAAATCCTACATGCCTTTAGAGTGGCGTGACATTTTTACAAGAAACTGAATCCAATAAATTTTTCTGGGCTACTGCTCAAGTGGAAGAGCTTGCGATTTAATTAAGGAAAAACTGAAATGTCATAAAGAATCACTGTCTAAGAAACAATAAATTCCCTCTTAATGAAACTTTATTATGCCCTTTTGAGAAAATATAATTAATATCTACAAAATATTAGAAGGTTTATCCATGAATTTATTATTGGTATCTTCTCATAATAGCACTCAAAACCCCGATATTAGGCCTTTATGGGTGCACCGCTGGGACCAATATGCTAGCTTATCTATTACTGGTATCTGTTGCATGTGATTGTTTGTTAGAATGATGGTGTGCAGCGTGCAGGACAATAATAGTTCTGAAAGTGGTGGCTGTATTTTAAAATTAGATGTGCGGTTTGTGAAGGAGAATAGTCATTTTGGTTCCTTTTGCTAGCGCATGTTCAATGACTTTTCATCTTGGTTTTACTTTTATACCATGCAGGCTGTAGTTAAGAGACTTATGACTGATGTACCATTCGGAGTTCTGTTGTCTGGAGGACTAGATTCATCACTGGTTGCCGCTGTTGCCAACCGTCATTTGGCTGAATCTGAAGCTGCTCATCAGTGGGGATCACAGCTACATACCTTTTCTGTTGGTCTAGAGGTTTGAATACTTTACTCATGCTTGTTGAAAATGAGTGGTTTCTTGTTAGTATTTTCCGCCAACTAATATGCTTGGAGTTTTAACTTGTCTGATATTCAGGGCTCGCCAGATTTGAAAGCTGCCAGAGAGGTAGCCGATTATATTGGTACCCGTCACCATGAATTTCATTTCACCGTTCAGGTGGTGACTGTCTTCGTCACTCTCTCTCTCTCTCTCTCTCTCTCTCTCTGTGCTTTCCCAGTGTAACGAAAAAACATCTTTTTTGAATTTTGTCCTTTTGACAATAAGCATTTCTTTTACATGGAGGAGTAAGATATTCTCATGCTATGTCAGGAAGGTATAGATGCGCTTGAAGAAGTCATTCACCATATAGAAACATATGATGTAACGACTATCAGAGCGAGCACTCCTATGTTCCTTATGTCTCGAAAAATCAAATCGTTGGGAGTGAAAATGGTTCTTTCTGGGGAAGGTTCAGATGAAATATTTGGAGGTTACCTGTACTTCCACAAGGCACCTAACAAGGAAGAATTTCACCAAGAAACATGTCGAAAAGTAAAGACATTATCTCCTCTTTTTATTTAGGAAACAAAATTAGTGCTTACCCAATTACATTCTTCAAGTTTCACACTTCGATGATTTGGATTTTGATGGCTTTGATGATTTGATAGATTAAAGCACTACATCTTTATGACTGCCTGAGAGCCAATAAATCAACTTCAGCATGGGGTTTAGAGGCTCGTGTACCATTCTTAGATAAAGAATTCATCAACGTAGCCATGAGCATAGATCCAGAGTGGAAAATGGTATTAAAAGTTTTACATTGTGTTCCTTTGTTCAACAAAAAAAAAAATGACGATGTCTTTGTAGTACTGCTTTATTGACGTGAAATTAAACTCAGTGACTTAATCTCTTCAATCATGTTATGAAATTTGTATCTCATTACACAGATAAGGACTGATATTGGAAGGATAGAGAAGTGGATCCTACGCAATGCATTTGATGATGATCAGAAGCCATATCTACCTAAGGTTAGTATCCATCGCTGCTGCATGCTAATCTATTTTGCTTGTCTACTTAAACTCGTGGTGTTAGCTGTTAAAGTGTCTCGTTTTATTTAAAAGTCTTTGCCTCTGTGTTATATGGACTTGTGTATCTTCGTCTTGAATTTCTGATCCCCCCCCGCCCTTGTTGTGGTCATTTCAGCACATATTGTATAGGCAGAAGGAACAGTTCAGTGACGGTGTTGGGTACAGCTGGATTGATGGCTTGAAGGAGCATGCCAACAACCTAGTATGTGTTTGGCTTAGGAAACTTTCTTGAGGTTCATTTTCTGATTTGCTGCTCGTTAGTAAACTTTCTTGGCTATTTAATTCTAAACCTTTGTTCTCTTTTCATAACTGATCAGGTCACAGATGCAATGTTAATGAATGCAAGTTTTATTTATCCAGAAAACACTCCTACCACGAAAGAAGCATACTTCTACAGAACAATTTTGAGAAGTTCTTCCCTAAGGTGGACATGATTTTTTTTTTTTTTGGGTAGATTTACCCAAAGTGCCATTGCTTACAAAATTTATACTCTGTCCAAACATTACCTCATCATCGTGTTCAACCATTGAAACAGAATGCTGCTAGGTCAACAGTTCCCGGAGGCCCTAGTGTGGCATGCAGTACCGCAAAAGCTGTGGAATGGGACGCAGCGTGGTCAAAAAATCCTGACCCTTCTGGTCGGGCTGCACTTGGCGTTCATGAGGCAGCATACGAGGAAGCAAAAGTTGCCAAACCGATCAATGGCGCCCACTAAACTGCTTTTAGTGGACGTTGAGTTCTGTATATTTATTGGTTAATGAAAGTAGAGGAGACGTGTTGTTTCTAAATTACATTTGAGAACTCTACTTTGTAATAGGCATAAAGTTTATTTCTCTGAAGCATCTCTGTAATGTGGTCCCACTTGTGTTGGTGGTTGTTTTTCCTCAATCTAATGAACCGACCATCCACTGGTGTATAATAAATACGGAAATTCAGTCCTACGAAGTAATCTTATATTTACAGCTTGAGTACATATTTACACATTATACAATGCTGTATTGATAACGTAGTTGGGTGATAAAATTTGTCCTGTTATCTGTCAAAATAGCCTCCCTTACAACGTATAGATTGTCAGGATTCTGAATCAGCATGATATATATACAGAAGCTGCAAGGCATTAAATGTTGGCTCAGATGTATATCTAGGTTAACACCATCGACAGATTCCAGGTGCCTCGGCTCTGCTCAATGCTAAAACTTCTTCATACTTGGAACCATATACAAAGCCCCACAGCTGCATGGATGAAGAAGTACTCAATAATATTCTATTTGAGCAAATGTTTAATTGAAGTGTGCCTCTACTTGACATGATCTCAGATAATAAAGATAGAAAGATGAGTGGATAGTGGTCAATGATTTAGACCTTGATATAACCCCAAAGAAAACAAAGTGCGACTGTGTGTGTGTGTGTGTGAGAGAGAGAGAGAGAGAGATTTTTTAAGTGCCTCTACCTCTACTTCCTTAACTTCAAAGTCCTGAGAATGAGCAAGGCAAGGATTGCCATAAGTTTCAGAGACTGAGCTCGACCCGTTCAATCTGAAGTAGATGTAAGAGAAATTAAAGAGTGTGTACGGTAAAAAATTTGACGAAACTAAAAAATTTCATAATGTCAGGCCAGAATTCTTACAGATCACCATCCAAATAGAGGGCAAAATGACCTCCCCCGCCAAGGGCTAGAAAGTCAGAGGAGCATAGTGTGAAATAGCGGTTTATCCCTGAAAAAATTGAGGTTACTCTGAGCATAGCTAGTTTGTGGCCAAGAAAAACAGAACATAGTTAGTCCATAGCAACTTAGGAGTCCCAAACCAGGGCATAGCTAAGCTTGTATACAGGTGTCTGTGGTTGTTTATAATGCAGTAGTGTCACATTTATTGCATTTTATGGAAATTGGTTCCATTTCTCCAAACTCAATGTCTCCAAAAAGGAAAACAAAAAACAAAAAAGAAAAACAGCTGATCCAACCTAAAAAACCCATAAATTTGTCAAGGCACCAGGGCAGTCTGATCAACCCTTAAAACCAGCCAACATAAAAATAGACTAAACTGGTCACACTTGCTGGTACGTCCTATTATTTCCTACCTGCCTCACCTTGCCCTGAAATTTATTAAAAAAATACTATGTCCGTCCTAAACATAAGATTCACTTTGTAGTGCAAATTACACTACAGAGTAGATTTTTATATTTAGGACCAAAAATAGTAACATTTATTTTTTTTTTTTTTTTTTGCTACATAGTAATATTTATATTCTAATAGAAAATGTTTCAACTCAATCTATTTGTCCATATATTGTCAATACTTTAGTTAGAAAACAGCCCTCTTTAATCTCAAATCTCAATCATACCACTGATAAGTCCCAAACTCCAACCATCAAAAATTGAATTTTACCAAAATCCAGCCCGAACTCTGGTCAAACATCAACTTACCCAATACCAAAAGAGAAAAAGAACTCAACACACACGAGACCAAATAGTATATGTTTTATAATACCTCAGTCTAATCTCGAGGTAGAACAACTACCGAAGTGCACCAAGATTCTGAGACCAAATTAATCTCTGGTTTTATTTGCTCGTGAAAGAGTATAATCATATGCTGCCCCGGGGGGGGGGGGGAGCCTATCATTTTATAAATCAGGAAGTCAATACCTGTTGGGCGATATATAGTAGGATGGCCAGAGGCGTTTGTGAAGACAAAAGTATTACTTGTTCCCTGTTACAAAATCTAATCTTAGCAATATAAAACAAATGATAATACTAATACAACAGTATAACATAGTCAGTAGGCTAAACAGTCAGATAATGACCTGATATTTTTTGTTTGATGGCTTAAGTGGTGCTTCAACCAAGCCACCAAAAACTGCACCTTTACGATCTCCAACAACCTGGAGACAGTAAGATAATCTTAACGCAAGTGAAGAACTTATCCTTACAATTTAAAGGGCGGTACAATGCAATATCTTAGTTGACATACAAAATAACAAATAGTGTATTAATCTGTACCAAACACTGCATTTCACAGGTCAAATTACAAAAGGTAGAATGACTTTAAATTACAGTACGGACATTTACACCAGAGAGCTTACAAGCACAGGAAGTTAACAAATACGATAAACTACTGCATACTACTCATAACGATGTTCACAAACTATTCAGTGACAGCTAAACAACAATGAAACGTGACTGTTGGAATAGTTGGTAACAATGTAAGGTTCAACTCAGATAAATATCCACCCGAAGTGATCAAGATCAAGAATGGGAAATGACATATAAATTGTGGTATATGATAAAATCAACATAAAACAACATGAGATATTATCAAAAGCAAAAAATCAGATATCAAGATAATTATGACATCAAATATCATGACTTCTTTATATTTATCACTTAAGCTGTGAAGTAAGAGAACTCTACTTAAGTGAACAGAGATTACATAGTATATTCCTGTTCCACAATGACCACAGTAAAGAAAGCCTCAAAACAGGAACTCATCATTTTATCCATTAATTAGCCCATCAACTGTAAAAATAAAATATCAAAATAATTATGGTACAAAAATATTACACATTTATATTTGTCACCCATTGTCAAGAAAGAGAACTCTATTTAAGTAATCAGAAACTTCTAAGTCTACTTTTTCTTATTTGATTCATCATTTTATTCGTAATTAATTTGATTTTTTTTATTTATTCTATATATTCTTCTATTTTATTCTAATATTTATTGTATTTTATTCTATTATTCGTATTCGATTTTTATTATTATTTTGATTTTCCATTTTTGTGATTTCTTTTTTTTATTTCTTATTGATATTCTTAATTTTTTTCAATATTAATTTAATTAATTATATTTTTATATTAATTAAATATTAAATTAATTCATTTTTGGCAAACAGAAACTGCTAAGTTAGCATGTCCTGCAAGAATCTCAACAGGCAACGCTTCTAAAACCAAGCTTGTCCTCGAATCAAATCTGCAACTAATGGATGCTGGCGTGAAGGTATGGTAGTGAATGACAGTTCAAATGTTTAAATAATTCCAACAAATAACATTTGCATATGAGGCAAGAATTGACTACGATGCAGGACTTCTGTTTGATGCTCAATTAGTGGATATAACCCAGTCTAAGTAAATATCGCACTGTCCACTCAGAACGTGTGTTTCATTTCTAAAGTTAAGCAAAATTAACTAGTACTCAGGGTTTATATTGCTCAAGCCTCAAGGGCAACTAAACCGTACCAGCAAACTTAAGCCAGGCCAAAGCATGCTTCTCCTGTACAGTGTCAAAAGCGACATCCCATGCCTCTGTGTACTGCAGGAAATGACGAACGGTGATAAAAAGGCTTCGTAAACATTACTTTTTGATATAAAGGTTGCTGAAATTAAGCATAGAAAGAGTTTCATATGCGCCAAATAAATTTTGCATCCTTATATACCTGTATAGTAGCATCCATTTCCTCCCATGAATAAGAGCAGGAAGAGAAGCATAAAGAATATTTCTCATTTTCTCTGAAAGGAGCGCTGAAGGTTCAGAAGCTTCTGGTAGATCAATCAAAGATGTATGTTCCTCCTCAGGCTTAATATGCCTCATCTCAACACCAGATAATCCGGAACCATGCCCATCATCCAATTTCATTTCAGTCTCATCCTTCCGCTCTTGAGAGCGGAATCCTGTGATTCTTGCAGCTTGGTTGATAGCTCTACCAACAGATTGCTTACCCCTGGAAAACAAACTTCTCTTTCCAGTATTTTCCTTCATAGCTGAGTCTGATGGCGGCATATCAGTTCGACTTCTAGTGTCATTTTGCCCATCTGGGTTTACATTATCTCTAGAATCTGAAGAAGACAAGAACGAGTAGAGGAATGCAGAGAAGGATGAAGTATCAGGCCCATCAGTTAATTTCTCGCCACCATCTCGATTAGTTGACTCCGAATCAGACACATTTGATATATCCCCTCCTTCCTAAGGAAAAAATAGCCAGACGAATTTTAGCAGGAGATACTTCTTAATTACAGTTTAGAATTAACCTTCCGGATACAACTAAAAAATACATACTTGAAGAAAGAGAAACGTAAGGATACAGCCTATAGAAAAAATTGTATTGCAAGATGTACAAAGCTAATTAAAGGGCTAATTGACAAACGGAATCGATATGCCTTATCTATAACTCAATATAGGGTAAGGCGGAAAAGACGAAAGCCAAGGAAAAGCAACTTCCATTACCAATATAGGCCGTATACGCCATCTAAATTTCCATAATCACAAACATGTAACAAAAAGATCAAATGAAACAGAAAGGAGTGAGGAAATTACACTATGCAAAAAGGTCGTAGAAAATGACTAATTTGGATAAAAGACTAATGAATTGATCGGGGAAGAAACAAGGAGATTCTTCAAAATAAATGGGATAAGAATTAGAGAGAAAATGGAACGCAAGAACTTACAGAAGGAGGAGGAGGGGCTTTAGAGGGTTTGTCAGAGATCGGATTGAGTAGGACAGTGGTGAGATCCGATACAAAGTGAGCTGTTTTGCTTCGCAGAGATTGCTTTCGTCCCATTTCTACATACAGAAGATGCTATGAGTTTCTACTCAGAATCTTCTATCGCAAGCACACCGTCTTTGGACAAAAATTCTTATGTTTTTATCTTCCATTTCTGCTGCCTTGATGCATTTGATGACAAATTAGAAATGTCTCCCCCGCTTACCATTCTTTGTACTATCTACTTCGCCTATGTGAGAGAGAGGATTGTTGAAGTTGTGACCCGGTCCCCAGCTTCGATCAGGACTTGCAGCTGCGAATAGTCGGTTCGGTTTGTCAGCCGGATTAAGTGGGTTGTCTGATTCGCCCAGTGAACTCAGAATTTTCGTAAAAAAAAAAATTAAGGCCAATTATTCGATATTTTTTATTGTAAAGAAAAGCTTCAAGAAACTTTGCAAAATAATTTCTAGAAAACATTGCATTTATGTTTCAAAAAGTAATAAATACAATGGGGGAAATGAAATATATCAAACACTAAATAATGTAAAGGCAGTAAACGTTAAAAATTGCATTCCATTTTATTATGTAATAAATTATTACCCCGTCCTAATTATAAGACTCCGTTTATAAATTACAAATAGGATTTTATAATTAGAACTGGAGATAGTAACATATAATATAAAAATTTTAACCATGCTCAAAAAAATATAAAAATTTTAACAATAAGAACTAGTTATAACTCGTGACACTTTAATTAGAAAAAAAGTATAAAGTATAAATAAAGGCTTATTTGGATTTACAGCAAAAAAATAGTTTATTTTCAATTTAACTTTTAAAAAAATTGAGATAGTGTGATTTATGTTTGGAGGAATTACAATCAAATCCCACAAAAGAGAAATAATTACCAAAAGATTTCAATAACAATATCAACAATTTATAACGACAAATCTTATAATGAGAATGACAACCTCTGGAACTTATTTTTTTAATTGTTTTTCTTGTTTGGGACCTCATTTTAATTCTCCCTTTTCGTTTAGATTGACTTTTATAAATAAATTGGTTTATAAGAGTAAGTTGTTTAGATTATAATTGAATAAGCAATTTTAATTAGTAAAATTATCAAAATGAATATAACTTTTATTAAATAATGAAAAATAAAAAATTATCAATTTACATGTTCCTTCTATTCTAAATATAAGACTCATTTTGTAATGTAAATTACACTACAAAATGAGTTTTATATTTAAGAACGAAAGAGCAATATATAATTTTAAATTATTTATAAGCTTTCACTGATCTTATTTATAAGTTTCAAATTTGAGGAGGAGCGTAATGTATTTTACATATTTCAACTTAGATTTGTATTAATGTTTCATGTGGATTTTTTTTTCAAATCTTGGGCATAATTATTTATTATCTTTGCTGTACTCTCTCTTATTATACTTTTCTATACATTTTTTAAATTTTTTCTTATTAATTACAAGGATATATTTGTAAATAAAAATATATTTCTAACTTCATTATTACTTTCAGCTAATTTTAAATAATTTTTGGTTATCATAAATTAGTTATTTGAGGCTGGTAAAAAAAAAGTTACTCATTTTATCTTATTTATAAGTCACTTTTAATATGTTTCACACAAACCAAGAAAAATCTTAAACTTCCTTAATTCTCATTTAAAATTCAACAACTTTCTAACTTTATCCCTATTTAATATACATTATACTTTATATAAACAAAATCAACACAATAATAAATGAAAGATAAAATTATACATCTATATAAAAAAATTTCTCTCAGTGCCCTATAAATAGGACAAGAGGAGTATTTAAGACTTATAATAAAAATAGGAAGAAGTAGTAAATTTCTTAAAAGTAGGATTTAGCTCCTTTTTTTTTTTTAACTTCTTTCTCCATGTTTCAAAAGCCAAAAGTCATAAGTCATAAACACTAAGGATATATTTGGATTAACGTTGGGTAAAATTGACTTCTAGTCTAATTGACTTTATAACTGAAGTTAGAGTGAAAATCAGTTAGTGTAATACGATTTATGTTTAGATAGGTGCTTATAAAAAGTCAGTTAAAAAAGTTACAAGTTGTTTGATGATTATTAATGAACGTGTTTAGAAAATGACTGAAAAGGATATGGATTTTATTGAATAGTAGTATTTGAAATTTTATATTTTTATGTGATAATAGTTTAAAAAAATACGTAAAATTATTATGATAAAATATAAATAGTTTATTTGTGAAATTATAAAATAAAATATTTGTTACGGAGAAAAATTTGAAAACACATTGTAGATAATTAATTAAATATACATAATAGACAAATATGAATATAAATATAAATAAAATTTATTTGGTCTCTAATTAAAGTAAATGAAATCACATAACTAATTAGATCATAAGTTTTGCACAATTTTTCCATAAGTTAGTTAGAAAAGTTGATCCAGATTGCGTTGGATAAATCAGTTAGAAAAGTTACTTTTTCCCATAAATCAGTTAGAAAAGAAGTCACATCCAAACAATCTTCTGAGCCACAATAAGTCACAAATCTCAGTTTTACGCTTCCTCATGTGCTTTTACCTTCTGCAATGGCAATCCAACGAGGCCTAAATTTACGGAATGGCTTATAAGTAGCTTTTCAAACTTGATTTACAAAATACGAGATAAATATGTGAGAGGAGTTTTTCTCTCGACTTGCGTGAAATTACTTTTACAATTTGATCCAAACAAGTCTTAAATTTCTATTTATAGCTTATTGTAACTTTTTATATCAAATTCAAAATAACCCAAACACTACAATTTTATGGATAGCACATTTTCCCATCCAATGGCAAGTCTAGGATGCCTAAACTCCCTCACAAACAGACCAAAAAGAAGTCAGCTTTATTAATCTCAAAAAACCATAATACAAACACCGGTATCCAAAACGAGGGGCAAAAAAAAAAAAAAAAAGCCACCCAAAAAGCTTACACGCACAATCTAACGCGCAGCTAAACCAGAAAACAAAACTATACCTATAGCAGTCGAGAAAAAAATAACCAACTATTTATCTGTTAAAAAAAACTGAAACAAATTATACGGATTATAACTATAACTATATAAGCCGAACAACTAAGCTATATTCATTGGTATTTCCTGGTTCCTATTAAGAGCTAGTTAAATATTAAATTTGATTTTAAATATAATATCTCAATCCACCTTATTTTTAATATTTATTCATTTTACCCTTCAAATTATGTTTGGATATGTTAAGGAGTTTTTATAATCACAGGATAACTCAAATGCATACGATTAACAAAAGTATTTTAAAAATTTATTTATTACAAATAACTAATTTAATTAATTTTTTTAATATTATCAAATTAGTTATCTAAAGACTAGAGGTGGTACAATTTGAAATCAGCAACCAAACACCCTCAGCCATTCCACTTCGAATTCGTCCTTCTTCCACATTTGAGCTTCTTCCCTTTTCAGCACAAATCAGAAGCAACTTCCTCAGGCTTCCAGTTCTTCATATCATTAGCTAGAATCTTAGCCAAAAAGGGTGTTGATGAAGTTACCCACCCAATAGGGCACGCACACTCCTTGCCTACACTTTACAACAACCTTGTTCTTTCTTCTTGTCAGATTAGCATCAAGCTCTTTACTCACAGCTAACAGATTGCAATTCCCATCTATACCTCTCCATTCAGCGTTTTCAGTGAAATTTTTTTTTTCCTGCAACACAAAACGCCTCTACACAGTCTGTTTCAATAAGAGCTCTCACAAATCTTCAGTACCTAACCAGAATAATAGTTTTTAATTAAAACACATTAACCCAAGAAAATCAAAGGGTGTTGGATGAATCCATAATCTACAATGCAAAGATATTTACGACCTTAAAATAATTCCAATTCTGTTCTAAGCAAGTGTCACTTTGAAGTGTTTGGTTTTTAAAAAGAAAAAACAAAGAAAAAGGAAAACAAAGCAGTGTCATTTTTAAATTGTGATTGGATATTTACGACCTTATCCGCATAGATCGCTGTACTTGTATTTGTATTTTGGGGCTTCAAAATGAAATTGGACATAAAATAAGGGAAAATGGAACTCTAGTCCTTATAGTTTTAGGTAGTTTTGGTTCTAGGATCTGATTTCTAATATTTTTGAAGCAACTCCCTAAAAGTTTTTCTGTCTGCACCGATACTCTCCCCGCTTTCAAATACTATCTCCGATTCTTAATATAAAAATTAATTTAATTTTTAATTTAGTCTTAAGTATATATCTCAATCCATTTTATTTTTCATATTTATTCATATTTTTTAAAGTAGTTATTATAATAGTTGTACATGTTAAAAATTCAATCAAATGATAGTTGTAACTAATACACATGATAATAAGAATATTCCATGAAAGGCAACGTCTAATTATTACAAATAACTAATATAATAATCTTTTTTATCTATTCAAATTAGTTACTAGCTTTTATACTAAGTACAGGAGGTAGTATTGTTTTGAGGACTGACAGCTGGGCACTAACGCTGTTAAAACTGCTGACGTGTCTAACGGCACCTACATAACCAACATTTCGCAACTGACATGATGGAAGTCTTCAAGTTGTCAATATTTTTAATTGAAACAAAGTTACAGAGAAGGAGTTTGCTGAAACCATAACACCATTTCTTTGAAGCATCGTGAAGGTGTTGGCTATGAGGGGTTTGGCTTGGTTTGGGTGTTTTCTTTTGATTAAGCTTGTCAATCCCTGTTGCTGCAACTCTCATAGAGCGAAGATGATTAAGAAGTGCTAGTATTATGTTCAAGACTCGACCAATTTATTTATTGAAAACATCATTACAGATTGCCACTGTCAATACTGCTGAGAAGAAATTTAGGACATATTTGAAACAACTTATAAATAGTTTTTTTAATAGTGATTTACGGAAGAAAA